CAGGCCAAAGGCCCATCCAGTCCAACACTCTGTATCACACAGTGGCCAGAAATACCAGGTGCCATCAGGAGGTCCACCAGTGGGGCCAGGACATTAGAAGCCCTCCCACTGTTGACCCCCCCAAGCACCAAGAAGACAGAGCATCACTTGCCCCAGAGCCCCTATCTATACCTTGTGGCTAATAGCCACTGATGGACCTCTGCTCCATATGCTTATCTAATTCCCTTTTGAAGCCGTCCATGCTTGTAGCATCCCTAGAGTCGGATTCGACTGGTTTTCGAGCAAGGGAAACCTTTACCCTTTACCTATCTCATCACAGCGCAACTATTCGTAGAAAAGACCCAACCCCATTTTTAACCTACTCTTCTTTGTAAGTGCAGTGTGTGATGTCATCATGTTTTTGCATTGCCTAAGCTCTGCAGCCAATAATGTGAGGCGTAGGTGGGGCTCCCTGCGCTGCAAGAAAGTGATGTCACATATCTCACTAGACATTACAGGAAGAAAGGAACAATGCAAGAGAAGCAGTGGCTGCTCCATGTATGAACATTCTTCATTATGAAATGTTTCCTTTATGCGACTGCATTCCAGTGAAGAGAAATGAGAAAAAAGTCATTCTGCTGGCTTGAACTGGCCTTGCTCAAGGCAGTAATTGTGCTGCAATATAACAATCTGTAGATTTTTTTTTCCTGCTTTATTTTTATTTTTTTTAGTAAGAATGCACTCATTTCCAGGATATTTGCATGTGGCAGAAAAACATACCATCTGGTATCAGAGTAAGGGTTTATGACTTGGATTCCATGAAAAACATCTGCCGGTAGAAGGGCTTCCATCAGTGGAGTGGGACTGTCTCACATTCTAAAATGCCCCCTAAAATGCTGGTCCTCGAGGATGGGAGACACACCCCCCCCTTCCAAAAGCACGAGAGGAGAGTCTGAGGTTTACTGCAGGAGGGGAAATCAATGATAATCATTCCACTCCTCTGTCATTAGTAGAAATGTTCTTCTGGGTCCAGCCCCATATCAGGAAGACAAGGAAAGAGAAACCATTTGAATGAGTGCTGAACCAACTGTTTGCAAATACTACTCCACCATTATTTCCAGTTTTGCTATTCACATTTTTAAATACAAAGTTTTACCTGAAAAATACTCTAGCCTTGCTGGCACGCTTCCTAGGTTTAAATCTGGCAGGTATCAAAGATGAAATCCCATATTCTATCAACAATCAAATGCTGCATAACATTAGACATTTTATTGCATGGTGTAGTGGTTAAGGGCAGCAGACTCTAATCTGGAGAATGGGTCTCATTCCCCACGTCTCCTGCACACAAAGCCTGCTAGGTGACCTTGGGCCTGTCACAGTTCTCTCAGAACTCTCTCAGCCCCCCACCTACCTTACAAGGTATCTGTTGAGGGAAGGAGACTGTAAACCGCTTTGAGACTCCTTAAGATAGAGAAAAGCAGCAGCCTCTAATCTGGAGGACTGGGTTTGATTCCCCACTCCTCCTCCATAAGAAGCCTGCTGGGTGACCTTGGGTCAGTCAGAGTTCTCTCAGAATTCTCTCAGCCCCACCTACCTCACAAGGAGTCTGTTGTGGGGAGAGGAAAGGAAGGAGATTGTAAGCCGCTTTGAGACTCAAGATAGAGGAAAAGTGGCAGCCTCTACTCTGGAGAGCCAGGTTTGATTCCCCACTCCTCCTCACATAGCCTGCTGGGTGACCTTGGGTCAGTCACTCACAACAGTTCTCTCAGAACTCTCTCAGCCCCACCTACCTCACGTTGCCTGTTGTGGGGAGAGGAAGAGCAGGTGGTGATTATGTCACTTTTAGACTCCTTAAGATAGACAACAGCAGGGTATTTTAAAAAACAACTCTTCTTCTTCTTCTCCTGCATTATATTATAGGTTGGGGGGTTATTATGGTTCAATGTATTTTAATTATGAATTATAACCCACACTGAGCCATGGGGAATTGCAGGGTTTTGTTGTTGTTGTTGTTCAGTCGCACAGTCGAGTCCGACTCTTCGCGCCCCCATGGACCAGATCCCGCCAGGCCCTCCTGTCTTCCGCCGTCCTCTGGAGTTTGCTCAATTTCATGTTTGTTGCATCTATGACACTGTCTAACCACCTCATCCTTTGCCGTCCCCATCTTCTTTGATCTTCAATCTTTCCCATTGCAGGGTATAAATGTTTAAATGAATAAATAATAAGACAGCACATCAAATATCTATCACATTTTTGCCTCCTAGGATCTCACTGTGGTAGGGTTGCCAGCTCCAAGTTGGGAAACTCCTGGAGTTTTTGGAGATGGAGCCTGGAAAGAGGGACGTTTGGGGAGGAGAGGGA